CTCCACCGCAGGGCTCCGCAGCAGGGCTCCGCAGCGCAGGGCTCCCCTCATGGTGTTCCCCACAGGGCTCCCCTCCACAGGGCTCCCCGCAGGGCTCCCCAGCGCAGGGCTCCCCTCATAGTGTTCCCCACAGGGCTTCCCTCAGTGCTCCCCTCCGGGCTCCCCTCAGGGCTCCACGTAGGGCTCCCCACGCAGAGCTCCCTGTAGGGCGCTCCTCCATAGGGGTCCCTTCAGCGCTCCTCTCAGGGCTCCTCTCAGGGGTCCCCTCAGGGCTCCACGTAGGGCTCCCCACCGCAGAGCTGCCTGTAGGGCTCTCCTCAACAGGGCTCCCCTCAGGGCTCCCTGCCGCAGAGCTCCCAGCTGGGCTCCACATAGGGCTCCCCTTCACAGGGGTCCCCTCAGTGCTCCCCTTAGGGCTCCCTGCAGGGCTTCCCTCAGGGCTCCCCCTGCAGAGCTCCCCATAGGGCTCCCCAGCGCAGGGCTGCTGTCAGGGCTCCTCTCAGGCCCGTGGTGTGAGGAGGTCTGTGGGACCACGGACCCCTGTGCTTGGGCTCTCCCCGGGCAAGGGTAGTGAAGGATGGGGGGCCTTGTCACAGCCATGCGGGATTCGGGGAGCAGAGTAGCCACCCTGGCTTCTCTTGAAGGGTGGCACCAGGATGGGCATGGGAGGACGTGCGCTCTGCTGCCTTCTGCCTCTGCGTCCCACCAAAACCCACCCAGAAGTCAGTCACAAGCGGACGCTTGCATGGGTCTCCATGGGAATACCCCCTGTCCTCTCCAAGCGTGGTGTCGGGGAGTGGATTATCTGAAAGGCTCTCCCCTTGCTGGTCATGTTACACCTTCTAGCTCCAGCTACAAGAGCCTTTCTCTGCTATTCCTGGTGCCCTGACTGCCTTACCCCAACCTGCTACACCCCACCCTTCACTCAGTGCCACTGCAGACCTTCCCAGGGCTGGTCAAGAAGAGAAGAAAGAAGCCTTACATCAAACGTCTGACATGCGGCCGACAGCAGCTCCTCTACATCATGCGTGCATACGCGAGCCTGGGACCAGTTTGACCACGCCAGTTGGACTATCCCAGTCAAAGGACTTCAGCCTACCGGGGCAGGACCAGGCCCTTCAGCTGAAACTTCCTGCAATGGTAACCAATATATGTGTCCCCCACACAGTCAACCTCCAGCACGATGTTCATAGTAGCATACGCTGATCATCGTGAAAGATGCTGTCTTTCAAGAAGTCCTAAAGGATATGGAACATGTCTAAAGTGACAGATCTAGGCTCTGCGCCTGAACAAGTTCATTATGTATTGCTTAACTTCATT